CTGGAGGGTCAGCTATGGGTCAGTTCTGATTTGATGGTACACAACAGCAACAACAACAGCTCGATTTCTCTGAGCTTCAGTTTCTTCAGCTATAAAATAAAGCCCACTATCCTCAGGTTGATTCTGACTCATAACAACCCTCCATCAGGTTTCTGAGGCTGTACTTTTTCACAGCAGGAGACTGCCCATCTTTCTCCTTTGCAACTGTTGGCAGATTTGAACTTCCAACTTCTCAATAAGCACAACACACAAGGGACTGTGCCACCTGAGCTCCTTCAGCTAAAAAACTGGGACAATGTACATTCACTCTGTCATACTGTAGTGGCTTGTGAGCTTCTATGAAGCTGGAAGTTATACCAACAAATGTCAGCAAGGGCACCCAGCATGGATATTTCAGAGGAACTTCCAGACTAAGACTAGGAATGATGGCTTGGCAATTTGAAAAAGTCACCAAGGGAAACACTATGGATTACAAAGGAATTTGTCTGATAAAGTCCTAGAAGCTCCATACCTAGAGCCAACACAGGTTGGAAGGCCCTCAAAACACACAATGGCTCCAACAATGATGTGAGCATAACAGTGATCACAACGTGGTGCGGGGCTATGCAACATTTTATTCTGTTGTACCTGAGGTCATCACGAGTTAAAACTGACTTGACAGCAGCTCCGAGCAACAAACACTACAAGGTTCAGAGATGTGCTGCTGTGAGGATGGAGATAATTGCATAGTCTCTGGCCCACAAAAGCTCAGAGTGAGCAGTGGCTATAATGGGATCTATTATTATTGAGATCACAGCTATTAATCTCACTGGTGGGCACAGGTGAGGTCTGTGACTGCAGCAGCACCAGGTACTTGCTTATATGCTCTCGTCTGTAGTAACTATGTGTGAAGCATGCATGCAGCAGGGGCTGGGCACCAGAACTAGTCACACGGCTGCCCTTTGACTCCAGTGGATGCCTTTGAGCCCAGTCACACTGCCTCTGAGTCTTGACAAAGCTCTGTGGCTGACACAAATGTCTTCAGCCAGAAGCCACCTCAGGAGGCTAGAAATGGGGCTGGTTGTCTGCCTAATGCCGCCACCTGCATCTCCTCCCACTGTCACTCTGTTGTAGGAAAGATTCCACTTCTATTAAGAACCATTAACAGGCCTATTATCCCAGCCATTGATCTGACAGATTTTATTAACCCTGATCACAGTCAGCTGCTTCCGCTTTGTCCATTAATGATCCTTTGGAACCGAATTCCTGAGGAATAATGCTGTACAGCCACATTAGGGGTAAATGAGCTCGCAGTGACAAGTGCTTTTACAACAAATAACTCAGAATGCATGGCTGGTCATCTCTTCTAGGAGCCTGCCCTTCACAAGTTGACATTCAATTGGATTTCAAATGTAATCTCCCTGATGGCTTCTGGGAAGTTTACTTCCGTGATGTCCTTAGTGATGGACCATATACCCTGGCTTAATACCAGCTAAAAGGTTATTAGGAGAATCACATTTTGTGGTTGGGGCTGGGGTAGAAAGGAGGAAAAGGGAAAGACTGAATTCTGTATGTTTTCTAAATATTGAGCTACTGTGAAGAGTCAAGTATGACTCAATAAACCTCCGGGTATTTCACATGTGATAGTGTCTCACCTCCCATTGGCATGAATTATATAGCCTTTGTCAGGAAGCACACATTATTTTTTTAGAGGAAAGTAGAACAAATTTCAGTAAGAGAAAAAATATCAAATATGCTTTCTGCTTCCAAAAAAATCTAATAATTAAGCTGGGATTGACACAAATTAGAATGCTGCCAAAAATTACTGAAAACAGTGACTCATTCTGTATTTCAATTAACAGTTTCTCAGTTTCCCTTATAAACAGTGAAGCTGACAAAAATTAATTATCTCAGAGGGGGGAAATATTTCCTTCTGAAGTAAACAAAACATCATGGGCTGAAACAATAGCATATGTAAACAGAAGGGAATCCATCTTTTCTTGTCAATTAAGACATCATTTTGGTAGGTTTTCCTCAAT